TTTACTCTCTCGCTCGGGCGGAGAGGAGGAAAGAGCAAAGAGCGGAGAGCCGAGCCGAGCCTCCTTCTCCCTCAGCTCCACCTCGATAGGCAGAAGGTCAAGCGCAGAAACTTAACATTGGCAAACAGTATTTACTGGAAGAGGCGTAATCGTCCAACAGAGAGGGTTTTAATGTCAGGGACTGTCAAAATGAAGATTTCCACTACAGGAGTTTGGCTCGACTGCAAAAGAGTGAAGAGGGGAAATGAAAATACAGGTGACCTGTTTGTTCGACACCTTAATGATGAAGTTTTATAATACACCTGTTTAAAGGCCAGGTGTAAAATCATCGTTATATCTACTTTTATCAGGTTAGCAGAAATCAATCCAAGAGACCCTCTAAAAACTGAAGAACATCTATAAAAAACATCTGTATTTAAAAATGATCAAACACTAAACTAACAAAGTGAAGTTGTTGTTAATCCTCCTCACTGCTCCGTTCACCATTTTCACTCTCACTGCTCTCCAGACGCTCCTAAAGCTACAGCAGCGTCTGAGTTTAACTGCTCTACAAACTCAATATCAACTTACAGGGGATTATGGGTAATGAGAGAGCGAGTCGGGGGAGGAGGGATCATACGGGCTGATAGATGTCTATGTGTGGCCCTCTGTGCGGTTCTTCTGAATCCGCTGATCCTCCTTAAAAAACCCAGAAACATATGAAAAACAAAACGAACCTGGAGCCGATAATAGACAAGAGCCATGTCAAAGTCTATAATAGATCTGCATAAAAACTTTCAATGAACAGAGTCCTGTTAAATTCTATTATAGATCTGCATAAAAAAAACCTTCAATAAACAAAGTCATGCTAAAGTCTATAATAGATCTGCATGAAAAACTGTCCATGAACAGAGTTATGTTAAACTCTATACTAGATCAGCGTGAAAAAAAACATTAATTAACTGAGTCGTGACAACTTCTATAATAGATCTGCATGAAAAACCAATAATAAACGGTCATGTTAAATTCTATAATAGATCTGCATCAAAAACAGAGTCATGTAAATTCTATAATAGATCGGTATGAAAAACCGTCAAAAGACAGTCATGCTAAATTCTATAACAGATGTGCAGGAAAACCGTCAATGACCATAGTTATGTTAAATTCTATGATAGATCTGCATCAAAAAACAACAATTAACATTTGCGTTAAATTCTATCATAGATCTGCATGAAAACAAGTTAATGAACAGAGTCCTGTTGAATTCTATAATAGATTTGCATCAAAAACTGTCAGTGAACAGAGTCGAGTTAAAGTCTATAATAGATCAGCACTTAAAACCAACAATGAACAGATTCCTGTTAAATTCTATAATAGATCTGCATCAAAAAGAGAGTCATGTCAAATTCTACAATAGATCTGCACTAAATACTGTCAATGAAGAGTCATGCCAGACTCTATAATAGATCTGCATGAAAAACCGTTAATGAACACTCATGACAAATTCTATAATAGATCTGCACTAAAAAACTGTTAACAGAGTCATGTTAAAGTCTATAATAGATCTTTATGAAAATCCAAAACCCCCTAGATGCTGGCTCATACTCCTAGATATTAAACACTTTGAACGTGTGTGTGTGTGTGAGATCTAGTCTGTATCTGTTCATAGACTCCAGTCTTCTGCTCCTCAGTCTCCTGAAACATCATGTTCACGTAGACGAACATCTGAAATGTAAATAAAGCGTCTTGACTTCCCTCTCTCTCTCTCCTCTCTCTCCTCTCACCTCGCTCTACCCTTCCACCTTTAAAATGAGATCCTCCACTATCAGCTGTTTAAACAGAGCGAACCTCCAATCTGCTTTAAGAACGGCAGATTATTCATCATCAGTGCTGAGACGAATAAAAAACTCTGCGGATGTTAAAGCGGCTCTTTAAAAAGGTGAAGCGTTCAGCCTGCTCCTCACAGTTTAACCCTGTCGTCTCCTCTTTATCTTACCTGGATTTAATTACTGCTGGCACACAGCTCGCTTCAGTGAGGGAGAAATTAATGGGAAGGATGAAATATGTGATTACATGCTCGTTTGGCTCTTATAGACCTAAAATGAACAGAAACGGTGAAGCGCCTCAGACAGGAGCGTTGCATGGTTTGTTATTCCATATTGTCGGCCACACTTACATGCACATCCTGATCCTCTGCCTTCATAAAAAGCTGCAATTAATTCAGAGGTTATGTAAAACCTTTACCTCATTATGCTGCTGAGAACAGAGATGATTAGCAGGTCTGTAATGGAGACACCCAGCGCTGTGATAATTGTTCTGTTAATGGAGGGGCTGTGTAAATCCTATATGTCTTTATGTGCGCCCACCGGGGACCTGACAGGATGCAGCATCCAGACTGCAGAGCCTCCAGCTGAAACCTGCTCGACTGTATGTGAGCATAATTACAAAGGAAGATATCAGAGCGCAGTTTATGACAGGATGGGAATGACTTGTGTTTGCAGAGGTCTGCCGGGAAGCAGGCAAATAATCCATTCATCAATAATTCTTGTGTACATGATTGCAGGGGAACAGCAACATTCACCAAATGAGCTTCTGCTCTGCATGTAAACAGCTTGATCATGTTTTTTTCTTCTCCAAAGGCTAAATGTGTGAATATAAACAAAGTAAATGTGGCCATTCAGGCTGAAATATGCATGAATACAGGAGGAACAATCAGAGCCTCGCAGTTTAAAGAGGACTTACTTGAGGGTGAACTGGTCCACGGTGGAGTTGGGCATCAGGTAGAGGAAGATCTTCAGGGTCTCCCCCGGCTTCAGCGGTTTCTCCGGCAGTCTGAGGAACATGTTCTTGTCCAGCTGTTTGTCCACCAGAAGCTGCTCCTGACTGGCCTGGTACAGGCTGATGCTCCCGATGCGCAGTAGGGGGTGCTGTGACAAAGGTTCTCCCCTGGATGCTCCGGCACCCCTGTGACCGGCGCCCTCACTGCACTCTCCATCCGGATTAGGACCATGCAGTGTGTAGTAGAGCTCAGCTTGGAGGGTCTCGCTGGTGAGCCCGTCCAGGAGCCCGTCACTGGAGCCTTTCCTCCGACCCAGCGGGGCCACGTTGGTGTTAAACCAGGACGGAGGCAGCTCTAACTGGGCCAAGCACTGAGCCAGGTTCCCTTTCATGCGACAGGAGGTTTTAATTTCCCGGACGTCCCTGAAGGCGTGCAGACGGACGCAGGGGAGCTTGTCCTGCGCCCTGAAGTCGTCCCAGTCCCGGCCGGCGATGTAGAAAAACACCTGAACCGTGGGGTTGTTGGAGAAGACCCTCGCCTGGACAATGAACGCTCGCACCTTCCAGTTGACTGTCAGCTGCCCGGGAATATCCAGAGGACTGGTTGGCTGCAGTAACTCCTTGGACAGGGCCTGGTCCTGTGAAAAAGGCCCAAAGCTGATGTTGATGGCGGGGAGGTCCTTTGTCTGGAAAACCACGAAACTCTCAGAGCGCTGCAGCGGGTGACCCGTGCTGGGACCGCCTCCACCGCCGCCACTGCTGCTCCCTCCGCTGCTCCGACCGCCAACCGTCTGTCCTGTGATCTGAGCCTCCCGCAAGAAGAAGGCCAGTTGTGCATTGGACATTTTGAAGTTGGCGGGAAGGTAAACATTGGGTGGCGATGGGCTGGCTGTCAATGACGAGGAACTGAGGAGGGCGTCGGAGCTGGTCGGAGAGATTTTACCTGCAAGAGCTGAAAGAGAGAAGAGAAAACAGACGGATTACACCTTTAAGAAAACAGAAACGCTAACGAAGGGTCTGATCTACTCAGTCAGCTGGAAAGAGGAGAAGGTCAACAGGCGCTAATTACACGACGACTGCTCGATACATGTCAAGGATCCAGTCCAGAGCTCAGTCAAACATACTGGTGCCAGACGGGTGATCTTTATCCGGGTCAGAACAACACCTCTAATCAATCAATCAGCATTTAGCAATTCAACAGTTTACACCGAGAGAGAGAGAGAGAGAGAGAGAGAGAGAGAGAGGGACCGCCACGAAGGCGTGAAGGCAACCCACTGTATCTGAGGTTCTGGTTCTGGTGCACTTGTTGAGACTAACATGCCAACAGTGCCTAACACCTAAGTGAGTACAGGAGAAGAAGTGGAATAAATGTGACATACTTATGAGAATTACCCAGAGCCGAGCACAAACACAGAGTTTCCTGTCCCCATGGTCCAGAGCACAGATTAAAAGTCCCATATTCCAAAAGGTTTTGTCATTGAGATCGCATCCTTTAAAGAACCGAGCCGGCTCTGTTTGAAAGAAAAGCCTCTTCAGACGCTTGTGTTCCTCAGCGGGCGCTCCACAGAAGTTTGGGCTCCTCTTTGTGCTCGCTCTCTCTCTCTCTCTCTCTCTGGTGTGCTGCAGAAGAAGAGGAATAAATGAGGAGGGAAGAAACACAGCAACAGCTCCAGCAGTCCTCTACTAGGTCCTCTTCTTGTTGTTGCCGGCTACAAAGATTCCTCAGAGCTTCTTGAACTTGTGCTGGTCTAATTCCCCGTGGTTCAGGTCCTGGTTTCAGAGTAGCTCAGCCCCACGCAGCAGCAGCAGCAGCAGCAGCAGCAGCAGCGGCGGCTCCTCCAGTCCCAGACTGAGCGTGGCTCCGGGACAGACTCTGATCGACAGGCTGAGCCTCCTCCTGGTTGGTGGGCTGAACGGGAACTATAGCCAAAGCCTTTGACGCCGCCCCGTCTTGCCACACCTAGTCTCTAGTCTATAATCACCATTTTAGCTCCCGGTCAGAGCTGAGACACACAAACCCTCAGAGGACTCGACACACACACACTACAACACGACACACACATGGAGGCGAAAGGAAGAACGCTCTCCAGCTCGATTCATCCTCTCCCTCTGGACGTGTTCAGGCAGACTCGCATGTGTGAGTGTGTGTGTGAGTATAGGGGCTGGGTATGTGTGTGAGTGTGTGTGTGTGTGTGTGAGGTGGGGCGGGGGATGGATGTATTGCCTGAATGCCTCAAGGCAGAGAGAGTGCAAGAGTGAGAGAGTGCGAGGGAGAAGTGGAGAGGGAGGGATTAAGCAAAGATTATTGATGAATTAGCCCAGCTCTCCTTCCCTTCTCCTCCTCTTTTTCCTCCCTCCCTCCCTCCCTTCTCCCTCCCTCCTCTGTCCTCCCGCCCCATTTCGTCTGCTTTAGCCCCCATGAGAAATCCATGAGAATGAGGGGGATACCGACCACGGCGGGGGAGGGGTTTGTGGGCACTCACTCACATGTGCTTGGAATTCCCTTCATAAAAGAGAGAGAGAGGGATCCGTGTGTGTGTGTGTGTGTGTGTGTGTGTGTGTGTGTGTGTGGGCCCCCGTAAAGTGAATGGTAAACAGTGGGGGCAACAAAAGATAAAGCCGGAGAAACATCCTGCACTTACAAATGAGCAGTCGTCTCCATAGAGAAGGCTGCAGGAACTCCAGAGGAGCTACTTAGAAGGAGGCGGCCATCTGCTCCGTCCTCCAGGGGCCAAAACAACGAGACAACACTCGGGAACTACACACTCACTGTACCTCGCACCGTTGTGATTTTCTACGTTTACGAAAAAAACTGCAGAGTTACAAAGTTCGGTGTTTATATCAGATGTCTGCAAAGTTTCAGATCACGAGGTAAACGTCTGTTTTCATAATCTAGAAAACAGAAAATAGATGTGAACCTCTCAGAACGGTTCGTCGTGAGATCTCACGAGATTTCAACGAGACTTACTAACTGATGACATCATTACAACAGTCTCTTCTCATTGGTTCACCTGAGCTTCAGCACAGGAACAGAGTGTGAGGTAACACTAACATTCACAGGGGAGCGGGGTGACGCTGCCCTAGAAAGGTGGCCAATCAGAAGAGAGTAGGCTTGTTGGGGGGCGTTTAATAAGGCTTTAATAATGATTTTTATTTAATACACCAGCGCCATCATGTAAAGATATTACAGAGGTTCAGAGAGGAACCTGGCTAATGAAGTTTGGAGAGTTTAATACTGATCCTAGCCTTAACCCTCGTGCCAACCTTAACTGTTGACTGACACTTGTTAACCTCGTGTCCACAAACAGTCACTCTAATAAAAGTGCAGTAAAAACTTGCAACAACGTCAAAACTATCCATCGATATAAAGTAAATAATAATTTTTCAGTATTTTTTAGGTTTTTAGTGTTTTTTTGGCTCGAGAACCTCTGATTTTTTTCAATGGGAAAAACATAAAATATGCAATATTTACAAAAATGAGGTGCAAAGTGAAATATTTTTGATAAAGATATAACAGCCCTGACCATGTCAATAATTGATAAAAATATTGATTTTAATGCATCATTTTTTTTGCACAATGACAGTTTTAAGTAAAAACGTACACTTGTTAACCTCGTGTCCACAAACGTCCGTGCAGTAAAAATTTTATATATTTATGTATTTTATTTACTTTTAATGAAGTAACTTGAGGAGAGTGGAGGAACACTTAAGTTAACTTAACTTTCACCAGGTTAGTGACATGGTTGAGAGTAAAAGGGCAGATCTACTGAGTCTCACAGACTTCCCAGTAAAGATGTGATTCCCCTCTCTGTGAGAAACTGTGTGAGCAGAAAGTTCGACCATTTTAAGAATTTGGGGATTTTACCAGATACAGAGAACCTAAAGAAACCTCTGTGCAAAAGAGAACAGTTGATATATCTGACGTCGCTGTATAGTAAACAGACTTGACACTGACTTTTTTCACAAGGAGCACAAAAAACTTTAGGGGATCAATGAAAATTGATCAATAATGTTTGTCCTATTGTCTGACCTTAGTACTATTATTAGAAATCAATTTTAGGTCTTTTGATCACATGACAGTGAAGCTATTGAAGGAAAACAGCCTTTTCTGAGAACATAAACCGGTAATTTATTGACGGTCCCTTATTCAACACTGACGTTGACAGTGTGGGTGTCGAGTAGATTTAACCGCGCTGCTGTTGTTATTCCCGGTTATGGAGAGTGAGAAGACACCGGTAGATCCTCAGAGAATGTCCGTCAGATATCCAACCTAAAACTAACTTCACCGCCGTATTTACAGGAAAATATATCCAACCTGAAACTAACTTCACCGCCGTATTTACAGGAAAATATGTCCAACCTGAAACTAACTTCACCGCCGTATTTACAGGAAAATATATCCAACCTGAAACTAACTTCACCGCCGTATTTACAGGAAAATATATCCAACCTGAAACTAACTTCACCGCCGTATTTACAGGAGAATATATCCAACCTGAAACTAACTTCACCGCCGTATTTACAGGAAAATATATCCAACCTAAAACTAACTTCACTGCCGTATTTACAGGAAAATATATCCAACCTAAAACTAACTTCACCGCCGCATTTACAGGAAAATATATCCAACCTGAAACTAACTTCACCACCGTATTTACAGGAAAATAGATCCAACCTGAAACTAACTTCACCGCCGTATTTACAGGAAAATATATCCAACCTAAAACTAACTTCACCGCCGTATTTACAGGAAAATATGTCCAACCTGAAACTAACTTCACCGCCGTATTTACAGGAAAATATATCCAACCTGAAACTAACTTCACCGCCGTATTTATAGGAAAATATATCCAACCTGAAACTAACTTCACCGTATTTACAGGAAAATATATCCAACCTGAAACTAACTTCACCGCCGTATTTACAGGAAAATATATCCAACCTGAAACTAACTTCACCGCCGTATTTACAGGAAAATATATCCAACCTGAAACTAACTTCACCGCCGTATTTACAGGAAAATATATCCAACCTAAAACTAACTTCACCGCCGTATTTACAGGAAAAAAACATTTGTTGAATTTTTTATGGGCACTTGTGCCCCTAAATACATTTGACAATCTGTTTTTAGTCACAAATGTGAGTGAAACGGTCGCACCGTCGAGTCCTCTAGTCTAGTACTCTAGTTGAAGTCAGCACATTGGGTCAAACTCACTGCCATATACGGGTCTCTTTAATGCTTGTTTGGAGTGTTGTTAAAAGAGGAGATGATTTTTTTATGAGACATTAAAACTTCATATGTTTTCTTTTTTCTGTTTTTGATCAAACTCAGAGTTAAAATGATGTGAAAACCATTAAATTCTGCTTTTATCAACCTTTCACACAGACTCACAGCTCTTAAAGAGGAGGGGTTGAACCTTGTCAGCTCGCCAATGCCTCAGTCAAAGAAGTTTTTTTTCTCCTCACAGCACCTTAAAGCTGTTTACTGATTTTATTTCTGTGTTAAAGAGTTAAGTAGATGGTGCAGCAGCGTTACAGACCTCCCTGCTCTCTATGTCTGCAGGCAGAAGTCGCCTACAGCTCACACAAACCTCCAAACCCTAAACCGGCAGGGACTTTCAAATATCTCACATTTCTCCCCTGCCTCTAAAACTACTGTTAAGGTATCCTTGAGCAAGGCTCTTAAAGTAATGCATCTCCGTGTGCTTCAAAAGCACCTGCTGCTGGCCAAACAGCCCCCAACAAAACGCTCTCCAGCTTGCTGCTGTTTTTAAATGCTAATTTACTTTATGAAGCAGCTTGCCACAAACCCGACTGCTCCTCTCTCCCGCATCTGTTCGTTTAGACGTCGGGAGGCTGCGGGGCCACATCAGGGAGTTTCGGTAAAAGTGTGACTCCTAACAGCTTGCTGACATTATTTCAGTGTGTGCGAGTCCATAAAAACACAACATGACTCTCGGAGTCGTCTGTGATGTGCAACAACACCGAACTGTTGAAATGACTCAAACGGGGGGCAGCAGGAGGTCGGAGGAGGAGGAGGAGAAGGAGGAGGAGAACTACGGTTACAATTTAGAAACATGACACACTTCCTTCAAAGACGAGTACATGTTAACACAAAGAGAGGAGACTGATGCAGATAATGTTCACTTTAAACTAAAGAGACTAAATATACCGAAACCATGGAAACGACCTTTGGTACTGGGGTCATTAAGGTGACCTGAATCAACAACCCAGAGCAGAGATGTTCAGTATCAGAGGGATCAAATTTAGTTTCTATCACAAACCTGAGACAGAAGAAACCCAAACAAGTGAGTCCTGAATATGAGCCGAGTTTATCTTCTCAGCTGTCGGTCTCACGGAGCGAGTGGATTTTAAATGAAGTGTCTCCCTCATGCAGCTCCATTATTAGAGCAGATATTGTAGATATTTGTCTTTAAAGGGTTAATTTCATTGATTACTAAACCCAGAATATAATCCCACTCTTTTTAGACGCCTTGTCTTTGGGTCAATAAGGATCATTTCACATACAAACACTGAATAAACAAGTCAGAGAGTGACTGATTTCTGTTTTAAATCTTATCGAATGTTAAATAAGAGTCTAACATCGGAATTGTCAAAATATTGATACTTTTCAAAGTATCGATACTTAAACGCCGTATCCAGATACAATGCTAATTTGCCAGCCGACCCGGCAGACAGCGTCCAGCAGTCGAGAGAGCTCCTGCTTACTATCCAATGTTTTACTGCTGCGCTAGTACAGCCAGTGTTTCAAAGTGGTGACGACAAAGTCGAGTGGCGCTACGAATTTGGCAAAACACCTTAAAGACCGGCACCCTTCATGACGAATTCCAGCATGTTAGTGAAGCTCCTGTTCATCCTTTACCTTACTGTATTAAACTGACGAATGATGTTAGTCTGACCGGTAGCCGTGGTTAGCTTTACGATCACTGAATACAGACTGAAGTAGAGAGAAGTCGACCTGCAGCTAAACCGAAGAAACCACAGCCTACTCTTCCGCTGATATTTGAGAAACAGAGAAAGTTTGACCCAAAGTTTCCTGAAGCTTTAAAATAAACCGAGCTGTAGCTGCAGAGTAGATCTGTGAGGATAAACTATCCATTTACACCGTGGAGAAACCTGTGTCCAAGTGAAAAAGTGATTATGTGATTATATTTTTTCATTTTCTGATTATTTCATTATTTGTCTGCCGTTCTGTTTTTCATGTTTATAAGAATATTTTTGTCATTTTCATCCCTGCGGTATCGAATATCAAGTTCGATATTTTAGTATATTCAGTTTAACGGGTTTCCTGGGATCATTGAATACTTTGGACTTTTTCTATGATTTCCTTTCACTGCTGTAAAATCAGGAGATTTCC